TATTATGTTCAAGACTACCGTCCAGAGAAATGGGCAATAAAAAGACTGTGTAACTTCGCTATTTCTTTTCAGTTCATTGCAGAGAGAATCACTTTTTACTTCTTTAGCCAGAATCGGAATTGGCGCACATCAAAAAACATCAGGTTCCTGATAACTGTGACCGATTACTTAGTATCATAATGTAAATAGCTGCTGGAAAATAAACTGGATTTATATGATGGAACTAGATTCATTCAATGGAGCACCCTACTGGCAAGAACAGACCACAAGTCATCTTTTATGCTGCAAATGCGATTAATTGGTTATATTCGAGCAAATAAAAAGACAATGATCAGTCGAAGTTCTCATAAAAGTACCTGACGAAGAAATTCGAAAGTCGGTCTCACCGGAAGAAAATGGATGATTCCCATTTATTTGACGAGTTTTGACTCAACATATAAAGAAAAAGCAATTTTCGAAGAATGAATTTATAAATTAATTGGACTCCACTTTTCAATTCTAAGGACGAGTACTCTAGGATTAAGTCGTGAATTTGCCTAACAAGAAACAAAGAGAGATTTTTCTTGAAATCGTGATTGTAGATTTATACAAAGAAATCCTCGGGTCACTGTCTTGTGACTCATATAAATCGGTGAGCTCATATCTGTCATGTGGCAAATATCATCAAAGTTAGAATCCATAAATGACGAAAAAATGCACCAACACATTAATTGTTGAGCTTACTTCCACTTCAAGTGAAAGTTTTGGGTGAAGAGATTTAAAGGTCGTTTCCACCAGAAAAGAACGGCGGATTCCTCTTGACCAGCTGTCGATTGGCTTTACGGGAAGATTTGTACTGACGATATTTCCGGTATAGCCCTAAAAAGTGGTATATATACTCTACATCTGGCCTCTGGAGTTTTCTTAACTCGTTAGCTTGAATTTCGTTGTGACGATGATGTCTTGCTCTGATGATGTTCGTCATATGACGAAGGAAAGCTTAGCACCTTCTCACCGGAATCAAAGGAGATTGCCTCGGAAACAGCGTCAGCATGAATCTTCCAGTAAAGCCAATCGACAACTGGTCAAGAGGAATCTGCCTTCGTCTTGTGGTGTAACCGACCTTCGAATCTCTTCACTCAACACTTTCACTCGAAATGGAAGTAAACTCAACTATTATGAAACAAGAGATTCCTCGAAACCAAACTTTTCTTCGCATATATTACCAATACAATAAATCAAGAAATGACGATGGTTACTCGCTCATGCAATGTCTGTCACAGAGGAAACGATTAAGGCTAGGTAGAGATTTATCGGGATCGCAGAACGGTGAGCTGAGGAATTCTTGCCACAACTCTATAATCTCCACTCGAAGACAATCCCCTCTGGTTTCCAATAAGGTCAATTTACGAATACCCTTATTCTTCAAAAAGAAAATTCGTATTATTTTTCTATGATGCTGAGCTTGACACAATCAACTTCGTTTTATTAGGGCGAAAAATAGCTAAGCTCTCGTCTGTCATGACATTCACCGTCAGAGCTGAATGCTATCTAAAATAAAGCTACAAGTTAACAATAAACTTGAATAAGAAATTTGCCAGCTAGAGGTGATTTAGGAAACGATAATTGAGTTTTTCCCGCCTCAAGATGCTAGTGAATTTAACACAGCCTTGCCTCCCGAAAAGTTAGTTAATCTGGAATGGAACAAGTTATTGTTGAAAATATTTAAATGTGTATAGATAGATATATTTACCCCCCTTTATTCTATTTAAAGTACCTTAATATTTAAGTCTGTGTGCTCTTCTTGTTGCGTCCGTATATGCACAGCCCAAGGCTCGTAAACCCCAATCATAACTCTGGGTAAGGACAAAGCGAAACATCAGTCGGTGATTATCAGAGTCTGATGATACAAGAAAAAACATGAAGAGGATTATGTAATCCCAAAGTCTGAAAATTTTGCAGGAATGGAATCCAGCTCCGATGATATCCTATCAACTAGCATGACAGACGAAAGCTGAGCTGCTTTGGCAATTAAATCGGTAAAGGAAGTTTATGAACGGTGTCAAATTAAAGGTCATGTTGTCGTTAAGCGACGGCAAAATAACCCTAATCAGTAAATTTCATACAAACGAAAATCCACCTCAATAATAGAGTATCCGGAAAGTACAAAAATAAAGTTCCAACTTGTATATACAAACAGAAAGTATTTTCTAGAAATTTGGGTCTATCAATGAGTGGTAAATGCTTCAAAAACGGATGTTTTAGATGCCAAATGGTGATTCTAATAGATACAGGTGTAGTTGACAGCAAAGAAGATCTCGTTAAAGCCACCTTGAGGAGAAGGATACGATTTACCGAAGGACGCTATGCCAGAAACTGGTGATGCAGCAAAGCATAAACATAGCAGCTTTAGTGCATATGAAGAAAACCTGGTTTTTGAAAAATCATTCAGTGTAAGTAGAAACTTCATTTCGAAGAAGGTGTAAGTTGGAAGGGATTTGTGAATTGGCTTCACTGTAAACCGAAGAAGGATTGTTGAATTTTGCAAAGAGGTCTTCGATTCACCGGTTTGAATCTTTGCCGAATTTGGTCTGTTTCTCTCTGAAAGACAACTTCCGAGAGAGGAACAATCACCATTTCTGAATATATGCGAAGAAAAGTCGGGTTTCGAAGGATTTCTTGGTTTATAATTGCTGTACAAAATTCAATTTTGAGTAGAAGTGTTTCATAAAGAGATTCAACGGTCGATCCCCCAGAAGACTACGGCGGATTCCGCTTAACTAGCTGTCAAGTGGATTTACTTGAACGTTCTTATGGATGCTATTTTAGAGGTATTCTCCTTCGATTCCAATGAAAAAGTGTTTATGTCTTATGTGCCATAGGATAGACATTAGAAGATCAAATATATGAAGATCAAGATGTTGTGACCACTTGTATAGTCGCATTCTCCTCTCAATTTGTAGAAGTGGGTTGACCTCGTTGTCGCAACTTGGTCTTGTTGTCTGGGTGACTATGTAGAACGAACCTATTCCGAAGTCGTCTGTCATAGTAGTTGCCATGATTCCCAGTATCTGACAGTGGACTTGATACATTCTCAAGACGTTTTGCCGGCATCGTAGTTGGAAAAGCTCACTGATGAGGCCGACTACGATGCCGGCAAAACGTTTGAGAATGTACCAAGTTCACTGTCAGATGCTGGGAATCATGACAACTACTATGGCAGACGACT